TTAATTGCTGTTAGGCAAGCAGAGATTGGACATAGACATTTGACAGGATTTGAACCCATACTCAGGTTCAGTGACTTGACAGGAATGAAAAGGAATAAAGTGTGTGGCACTTACTGCTTCTCCACAGATGTTAGTTCCCTTCGGGCCCCCTCTAGGTTTTATTGTTCATAATGGATTGCTGCCTCTTATCTGGGATAAGGTGGGGGTCAACAACTCAGGACTTCCTTAGCCTTCCCTTCTTGCACCCCCGCCCCAATACCTTGCCTATCTTACAGGGTGGTCGAGAAGATTAAAAGAATTAATACATGTTAAGTGCCTAGAATGGAGCCTTGCTTATAGTAACTGCATACACGCCGGTTGCTACTGTTATTGTATCATGTACCTACAAGAAGAGTGTTAGGGAGACACCTAAAATGAGTGGAGACTTGATAAAAATATCAAGGATTCTTAAAATGACTTTTAAAAAGGGCTCAGTTATTAAGGTGGGTATAATGATGACCAATGCTTGGTAGAAAATAAATCTTTTTAATCTCTATTAATAATTTTCAAACATGAAGATGTGTAAGATCTGGCTTAGGAATAGGATGATCATACATCTCAATTTGTCTGGAAAAGTTCTGATTTTTATCTGTTGTCCTGGTGATATTATTACTAATGTTCCCTTTCACTTTTTTTGTTTTTGTTTTTAATTGATTTAAGAGAGAGAGAGAGAAAGAGAAATGGTTGATGCTTATTTGGGGATCAAACCCACAACCTTGGCATATCAGGATGATGCTCTAACCAACTGAGCTACCAGGTCAGGGCCCTTTTCACTCTTAAATGTCCTGGTCTGAATGAAAAATTACATGGTTACCCTAGTTATAAGGATAATGAAAATAAGTGAGGGGTTACCCCCCCACCCCCACCCCCCGCCTTGAAAAAAGCATTTGTCCTTTTAAAGAATTTATTTGTAGGCTCAGATTTAAAGACATTCTAGGGTTAGTGAGACCTTGTCGGTGTGATGGTAAAGTACCACCAGTATCTCCAAGGGACCAGCAAACAGCAAAGGTGCCAGAACACCGAGCTTGGGCACAACTCTGAAGAGGTGGAGTTGGATTCCAGAAGCCACAGACCACAGAATTTACCTTCTAAGCCTAGAAAATTTCTGAAATGGACTTTTCATGTTTTAAATCAGAAAGCCATGCTCATTATGAAGATATGGATAATTGTGAATTATGAAGAATTGGTAAGTTAGACTAGACGCCCTGTTCGACTTCGCCCACTGTGTGCACAGGGATGCCCCGCCCTGTTCCCCTCCTGGCCAGTGGGTGGGCAAGAAAATAATTGTAGGATCAGGCTTCCACCATCCATCTGACCCTACCGAGGCAAGTTTACACCAGGCACCGGAGCGCATACCGCTTCCTCCGTGGCGCCCACCCCAATCAGTAAAACACACGGGAAACAGCAGACAGGCAAGCATGTGACCTTTCACCCAATGGCCCAGAACAATACCTAACAATACTCTGCTGTAACACTACTTCCTAGAGAACAGTGACGGCTTTTTTTACTATAATTCTTCCGGGGTGGGGAGAGGAGGAGGCTGATATATTTCTGTTCCTGGACAAGAAACCACTTCCTGTAGGAAGAGGCTCCCCTAAATCCCAAGGCTGTGCACACACTCCATGCTCCTGTGGTTGTCACAGCACAGCACCTACAATGTTGTTAGAGTCCCCTTTTTACCCGTTTGTTTTGCTCCTTCACTCAGCTTTGAGCCCTATGATGCTAGGGGCAATCTCACTCACTGTTGTATTCTTACCCTGGCAACAGATATTTGCGGAATGGTATGTTTTATGTACCATACAATGTACTCTGTCAGCTCACCATAGTCTGTCCTTGCCTAAAGCTGTGTGACTAAGCAAGGGGTTAGATCTACCTCCCAGAAAATGTGTTCATGAGAGTGTCCAGCATCTCTGCAGGGCACTGAAGTGTCATTCTGATAGTGGAAGATTTTAATCGATTCTAGGCTAACATGCAGGAATCCATAGCCAACGTAGGATATAGGATTAAAGGTGACCAGACAGCAGGTAATTGTGAATCACAGATGAGCCAGCAGAGTCGACTGCAGTTATGGTGATGCCTTCTTGTCCTTTTTTCACTCATTTGTTTGTATAATATGAAATTTGGCTTTTTTATTTTTTCACCAGATTTTCTGATCACTTACAGTGCTCTAGGTTGCTGAGAATACAGAGTTCTGCTTCCAGGGCATTCGCATGGTGGTAAGGAAAAGGGATACATGTACTTCCAACTCTGCATCGGTCTGGATACTCTGCAACATAAATAAAGGGCTGTGGGACCACAGGGCTGATCACTGTCCTAGGCACTGAAGGATGGATAGAAGGAATTCACTAGGCAAGGAAGGCGAGGGGAGAGGAAAAGGGACATTTTAGAAAAGCAATTTGTAAGCTGCAGTTTTCCTCTCCTCGTGACACCGAAACCTACTACTGGCAGGCAAGAGGGAGCTTTGGCGCTTCAACTAAAGGCAGGTTTGACTCACCAGCACATGGATTCATACAGCTTCCCCTTTGGATTCAATTACTCTAAAATCTTTAAACTGGAAAAGCTTGTGATTCTGGTTGATCTGTATTCTGAGTAAAATGTTCACAAAATGATATTTATTTATGACAAATTGAATTAGTAAAGTCTCAAATGATAGAAATATTTTATAAATATAATTTTATTACTTGGAAGTACATACAAAAATTCAAACACAGCTTTAAAAAACCAGTTGCTAAGCAGAGGTCCTATCCAACCTGTTTTAATGAACACATAAAACAGTTACAATCAGCATGAAACAATTTAAGTCCTGAAACAACTTACTGTCCTCAGGGCCTTTATATATTGGGATAAAAATGGACTTTTTGTTTTATTATTTACACCCATTTAAATATTCTCCCTAAATATAGACTACTAACATTTCAGTTTGGTTCATGAGATTTTCATTTAAAAAAATAGATAAAACCATTTACTGTAATTATTTTGAAAACTGAAATACTGTACGTCCATTTCTAGCCTTCTGCCGCCTTACACCCTCCACGGTTTCTCAGACCCCAGGAGCTGCTGACAGAGGAAAGCACGCGCAAGTCCCAGCAGCTCTCAGAACGCGTATGTTTGGGCCAAGAGCCCTGAAATTATTAAGGGGGCAAAATTTTTCTTTACTCCTCTCTCCCTTTTTGTTTTGTCATTTTATTTGTGGCCAGCCAGACTATATCTTTGTCAGAGAAAAAATACAAATTCAGTTATTCTGCTTTTCCTGATTGTTAATCCATTACACACTGCTTTATCCATTCTTCTTGCTTTTTTCCCCCCATGCCTGCTTGGCAACTTTGGCACTTTCTACAAATTTAAGTTAATTCGAGATTTAGCATTTCAGTTATACATTTTACTCTCCTTTTTAGTCTTTATCATGCATTTTTCCTCCTTTCGGGCATGATTTTTGACAACTTCATCAGAGAGCTCTCTCTGAGATGCTTTAGATAGATGCCCAATCTCTAAATGTTCAAAACATTTCTTTAGATGGCTAAAGAAAGTTTTCATCCTTTTATGGCCCCCCCACGACTGGAACTCTTTTTGAAAACCTGGAAAAGGGCCTGCCTCTAGATCTGGTTTTGCATGCAGCTGTGGTGTTCTTCAGTCTAGTCTTTCATCCCCTTTTCACAGCCGAGCCGCCTGCGGCTCATGGTAGACTGGACAAAATGAGAAGACTTCCACCTGCAACATTCCGATTCATGGTTCAGATAGGAAGAAGTCTAAATTGGGAGTTCTAGATTTCTGGAAGTTCTCTTTATACATCCAGCCAGTGACAAATCCCTGTGGAACTACATCTCCGCCATCCCTTGTATCTGTTCCTCTCCATCTCTGCTGTCACCGAGTTCTGGCCATTACCTCTCCCCTCTGCTGGACTCATTTTATTATACCTAGACCAGCTGTCATAGTATTTTCTCAAAGTTAAATATGAACCTACTTCTCTGCTTAAAACCTGTTGACGGGTCTCTATTGCCTGTAACACACAGTACAAACCCTTAATTTGGCATACGAGGCCCTGCAGGATCAGCGATCGTTTCCCTGGCCAAAGGCCTCCTCCCCACCCACCACGCACCAGCTCTGTGACAATAACTTATTTTTTGTAATGTGTTTTGCTGTTTCACATTTAAGCTTGTTAGTGAGTTTCTGTAAAACTGTCACAAATTCCTGATGGGTGCGGAGTCCTTCAGGGGTAAAGAAAGTACCCAAGGTCATTTTGCATCCCATTCATTCAGTAAACATTTTGATGAGGACTACTAAGTGTCTAGAAGTGCTAGATATTAGAGATATGGACATAAAATTCAGTATCCTTGCCTTCGGTAGCTTCAGTCTAGAAAAGACAATGGTAGTGGCACTAAGTCCCAATATGTGTGAATGCTAAATAATGTAGTCTCAAATCCAGTCACTTTTTAAATAGCCACTCAATTATCTTAGACCACACTGAACGTGCTCCTGGAGGCCTTTCTCATATTAAATACTTTCAAGCCAGGGCTCTGCAAACCAATACTTGAGTGTTATCTTTTGTTTATTTTTAGAGACAATTCTGGAATTACAAATTATTCATTACTTGCACGTGCTAGTTATGATTTTGTGTACTAGCTTGTTAAATATTTGTGAATTTTCATTCTAACCACCTCAGATTTGGTCCATCCTCTGACCTGAAGACTACAACTCTGATTTCAGCATCACTGATTAAAAATAATGAAACATCCAACCTTTAGGAAGCTCTGTCCTGCTATTCTGGTTAATCTGGTAAAATATACTAAACATGCCCCTTATCACCTTATTAATATTTATTATTCTGACTGAATGATGGATAAGTCATGCATAACTAAGACTTCTAGGCTGATTTTTTAAAAAATAACAATCATTAAATATCCATTATAAATATTCACTTTATTTTGAAAGAACTGGAAGATGTTACACATAGTACATACTACATATAATGGCACATGTCAGCCTTTTAAGCTTAAAAATAATCTCTCCCCAAACTGGGATTGACTTGGACTCCAAATATAAAATGACTCTTGGCCTATAGCACCAACCCAGGCCCAGAGGAAAGCCAATTTCGAACCTGTCTGTCCTCTGGCATTGGGCTTCCTGATATGATGCTGAGGGTCCTCTCCCTCTGGTTTTGTTCCCTGGCAGCATTGAGGCCTGGCACAGGGACCCATCTGACTGTACACTGCAGGCCTGGGGAAGCAAGAGAATCTAGAGGGGGCAGGGTCCTCTAACAATTTCACAATGGGAAAAAATTAAAAACGTATGTGCCCATTGTCTTTGTTTTTTATCTATACAATAACAAGACTACAAGATAGAAGGAAGTTAGAATTATTGAAACACAATTTGTCTGCTGGTTTTTCTCTTTGGAAATCAAAGTGTCATGATAGGAGGAGCCTTAAAAGTCATGCAGGTCAGTACTGGTAACCTGCTTCCACTAGCCTTTCCTTCCCCAGCTTTAGGTATAATTAAGTTTTAAATGCCATCCATATGCCACTTCGTTAGACAAAAACAGACATTTACAACACCTTTCATTTTCTTTTCCTAATTCATAAGGAGAATTCCTGCCAAATGTTCTGGCTTATGGCTCTCCTACTCTCCATTGTATGTTTAAGTTACACATTAAGAATCCAAAATATACCCCTATGGAATTTTCATAAGCAATATCCAACCAACCAGGAAAACACAGTACACAGTGTGGAAATTTTCATTTATTCCCCTCCCAAGTATCCAGAATATGTACCCCCTCAGCTATGAGAAACATGATCATGGAAATACCAACAGAACTGAGCATCCGTAGAGAGAAGGGAAAGCACACAGCACACAGAAGACACCCTACGTCCTCCCTGACCGAGCGGTGCGAGTTAATGGCATATTACTGGCAATGTCACCTTTCACTTGATTTATAAAAACTTTACAGGACACATTTAAAGCAGACAGGCCTCTGATTCTTGTTTTTGTTTTGTTTAACCCTAAAAGATTTTTTAGAGGCTATATTAAGTGACAATGCATTCTGAGTCGGGGGAGAAAAAAATTAAAAACCCAAAACTTCTTTCAGTTTATTCAAAATAAAAATACACATAGAATTATGAAAATATAGGTTTACTATTTCCACCACGTAAGTTGATGCTGCTGTTTGAAAGGCTTTCAAATTGTTTTTCAAGTTTTTAAAGCTCATCTCGATCCCTCAATAAAGTATACCTATATTCGCTGGGTGCTAGTTTCTGGAAGGAGCTCTCAGGGGGACTACTTCCTACATCTTGGACTTCCTACAAGAGAAAGAACACAACATTTTTATGTCAATATATTTGATGAAGTTACATTATTTCAATAAGAGTACTAGATGAATGGTAGTTGCCCTATAAGTATTTGCTTAATAATCAACAAAAGATAGCTACTGTGTGCCAAAGACAAGAGTTAAGTTTGAAATCTTGCTTTCCCCATTTCATATGCCCTTTCTCAGATTCTCCAGGGCAGGGCTGCCACAAACCATTACATGTGTCCCTGTTGACAGTTCCTGTGGTGCAGTGGAAGGAAACAAAATACCTGACACCTGGCACTTTCCTAGACTATTCTAGAGAACCAGCACAACTCTTAACTAAGTTGGCCCGAACCCTTCCCTCTTACAAATGATTGCTAAAAAAATTAAAGGCACCTATTCTGTAGCTGGAATTACAATAACCTGGATGCCAGAAATGATCAAAACTAAATTAACATATGGAGGAAACCAGCACTTCAGCACTGCAAGAAAATTAATTCCTGAATTATTTTACTTGTGCACAAACAGCAGATAAAACTACACAGTGGAACCGTAAGAGTGACTTCCAATCATTTCTTTAAAAAGGCACTATAGTCTATACTTGATTTCCAGACTGTAAGCACTTCAAGAGCAAACATGGTTATCATTCTTTTAATACCCCCTGTAGTTAACATAGGGACACAGTCCATCTACCACATCCTGTATCTAATGGCACATTCCCATTATGATGGTAAGCAATGCGCCTACAAACTTCCCATATAACTTTGTCATGTTCTACTTCCCCAATATATGTTTTATTTACTTTTTGTTGAGATGTATGTTTAGTTTAATTTAGCTGAAATTATATTACAATAAACAAACACGTATTTGGTGCCATTAGTACACTAAGATGAATAAAATAAAATACAAGGAGTTCAACTGTCTAATGGAGAAGTCAAAACACATCAGGACAATACCATAATGATAAATTACATCCTTAATCTGATAAAATACTAAGCAGGCCTACTTTTCTGATGAAAATAATCACCTTTGGGTTATTGCCAACATTTTGCCTGCTTCTATAATTGCTTAATTTTTCCGAGAAAAATCTGACCTCAGATTTCAAGTAAAAAGCATATCATCAAACTCCTAAAAGGAAGTCTTGACTCTCATTTTGACTCAAAGTAAAGAAAAATTCACTTAGTCTTTATTTTTCCTTTATAATGTGGAGGTTCTTTGGGCAAAATAATGGATTGACGTTTTGGACATATGAAATAGTTTGGTATATATCATCTTCCTCCTTGGTATAGGGGAATATAAATGGATAAGAAAATGCAAATTTAGGGGTGTTTAACAAAGCAGGAACATAGAAATAGTAAAATTCTCAGGTTAAAAAAATATATGTATTATGTGTGTGGGTGTGCGTTTATCAAATACAAACGTTGAGCATTCTAAATCTCAAATGGAAGGCTGCATTAAACCATAAGTTTTAAGCATTCTGAATACTGTACTGGTGAGAGGGGCTTGTAAGATGGTTTTGCAAGACTACCAACTCATTATTTTCTCCGTAGTGCGGTCGATCTCCCAGCGACAGAGGACAGCCTGGACAAGTCATGGAGTCCACTGATTTGTGACACACCTGTTTCCATTGCCCATCTTCAACTGCTTTTTGAATCCAACTGTCTTTAACCCTTTCACAGCTATATTCCACAAAAGGCATACTCAAACTAAAAAAGCTATACTGTAACATTCTTGAAACTTTCTGAAGGTCTAAAATTTTTTAAATTAATTTTAAAAGGAACATAGTTTGTATATTATCTAGAGTCTGTTGAATAAGGAAAAAATTTCCCTCTGAAAAACAAGAGTCCTACCTGTCCTTGGGCTGTATCTGTTGGGTCAGGACCATGATGGAATTCTCTGTGAAGTTTTCCAGAATGTAAGTCAAATACAAACTGCTTGAGTCTTCCAGGAATTCTAAAACCGAAGTGAAATAAAAATTTAGCTTAATCTGTTAAAATGGACTTACCTCTATTTTACCAAATTTATCTATAATCCCACCATCCTACCATAACTATGACAGGCCAGGCATACATCGGACATTTTTATCCAGGAGAAATCTTCTTTATTTTATTATTTTTTAAATTATTTTTATTAGTTATTTTGTTTGTTTATTTATTTTTTACCCTCACTCGAGGACATTTTTGCATTTATCTTCAGATAGAGTGGGAGGGCGAGAAGGAGGAAGAGAGAGAGAGAGAAACACTGAGTGGTCACCACCCACACGACCCCAACTGGGGCCGGGAATAAACTGCAACCGAGGTACGTGCCCTTAGCAAGAACCGAACCTGGGACTCTCTGGCCCGGAGGCTGATGCTCTAACCACTGAGCCAAACCGGCCAGGGCTATTAGTTTTGTTACAGATGTTTCTCCGTTTTCCCCCATTGACACCCTCCTCCCCACCCCACCCCTGCCCTGTCCCCAGCTTTGCTGTCCATGTCCATTGGTTATGTGTACATGCATATAAGTTCTGTGGTTTATTTCTTCCCTCCACCCTCACCCCCTCTTCTGAGGTTTGTCGGTCTGTACCCTACTTCTATGTCTCTGGGTGTATTTTGTTCAGTTTGTTTTGTTCATTATATTCCACAAATAAGTGAGATCATGTGATATTTGTCTTTCTCTGCTTGGCTTGTTTCGCTTAGGATAATACTTTCCAGGTCCCTGCATGACGTCTCAAAAGATAAGAGATCTTTCTTTTCCACTCATCTACTGATGGACATTTGGGCTGTTTCCAGATCTTAGCTATTGTAAATAGTGCTGCTATGAACATAGGGGCACATATATTCTTTCTGATTGGTGTTTCTGGCTTCTTAGGATATATTCCTAGAAGTGGGATCACTGGGTCAAATGGCAGTTCAATTTTTAATTTTTTGAGGAAACACCGTATTGTTTTCCATAGTGGCTGCGCCAGTCTGCATTCCCACCAGCAGTGTACTAGAGTCCCCTTTTCTCCACACCCTCGCCAACACTTGTTGTTTAATGATTTGTTGATGGCGGCCATTCTGACAGGTGTGAGGTGATATGTCATTGTTGTTTTAACTGAAATCTTCTTTAGATACTCAGTTCTGTGTTCTAATTCCTGCAATTGTTAACAGGCATTTTTCTATGTTTATCGTTTCCATAGATGCATCCGTCTATCAAGATGTTGTCCTAAACTTACTTAACCATCCCTTCTTGTTGGGCACTTTCCTGAATTAATGTAACTAAAAACACTTATGTTCTGCAAAATCACACTGATAATATAACAGGGCTCAAGGAAAAAATAGCATTAACCACTTAAAATAATGTAGGTTTATAATCAGAGGCCTATTCAAAGCCTACAACAGAAATATCAGCACAGTTCAGCCTCCACCAGCATGCGGGCCTGTGTCAGCCGGACGATCCTTCCCCTGCCACTTGTAAGTCCTCTTGTGAGAGGCAGGTCCTTGAGAGCATTCATGGTCAGTAGAACCAATTTTATCAAATAATCCAAGGCAAGGTGTAACTTTTTCATGTTTTCCTTTTTCCCTTAAACATGGGGGAATTTCTTCACAGTTTCTTTACCACACGAGCAGCTTCACTGGGTGGCTAACATTGTGAAAAGCAAAAGCACTTCTCAAGGCCATGAAACTGGCTTTTTAAAAAAAAGGTTTTCATACACTAAGGTTTTCTCATTAATGATGAAAAAGCTTTCTTTGGTGGCTTCAAAATATTCTGAGGAAAATAACATGAACCAACACACTCATTGTACATTAACATCATTCGCCTAATTATTAATCAGGGTATAAGCAAACTGGCAGCACAGACCCATATACTGTCGTAAAACAGACCATAATAAAGCTAAGCAGATATAGACAGCAGGTCCTCAAATAATAATGTTTCATTATAACGTTAAAGAGAAAAAGGAAAATCGATTCCCAGCTGGGGCCACTGCCCAGATGTGTGGAGCTGGAACGTTCTCCCACGTCTGCGCGGGTTCTCCCCCAAGGACCCGGTTCCCTCCGAAAGCGATGTGCAGGGGAGGTGCATGGGAGCATCTACACTGTCCTGGAGAGTGTGGACGTGTGTGTGCACCGTGATGGAAGAGCAGCGTGTCCAGGGCTGGGCCCCGCCTTGCACCCTGAGTTGCCAGGATAGGCTCTGGCCACCCACCACCCCGAACTGGAATAAGCGGGTTGGGAAATCGATTTCTGTTTTTATTAATCTTCCCTAAATGTATGTATACCTCACATTTATTTCTGTGTTTAATATTATTAGTATTTTGGGTCTTCATTTAGACATTTGGTGATGTTTTGATGACCAGAAATATGCCATAAGAACTTAACTCTTACTTATTATCAATTAGCCTGCAGTAAAATTGGTTTTGTTATATGTCATTCTTGCTTTAAGTTAGTTTTCAAGAACCTACTAATGATGTTAAATGAGGACTTACATATCTGCCCCCCCCCCCCTTTTGGTAATTATCTCCTTGAGTTGCAACCAATAAAGTAGGAGTATTGGGTTAAAGAATAAGAACTTTTGCCCTGGCTGGTTTGCTCAGTGGTTAGAGCCTCAGCCCTTGGATCAATGAGTCATGGGTTCGATTCCAGTCAAGGGCACATACCTCAATTGCGGTTTATCACCAGCCATGATCAGGTCGTGCGGAAGGCAATCAGTCAATGTGGCTCTATCGTATAGATGTTTTTCTCTGTCTCTCTCTCCTCTCCCTCCCTCCTACTCTGATGATAAATGGAAAAAATGTCCTCGGAAGAGGAATTAAAAAAAAAAAAAAAGAATAGGAACTTTTGACAGTGTGGGAAAATTATATATATAAAACATCAGTCTATTTTTGCTACTATTTGTCTACCTGTTTATTATTTGAAATCTTGACAACACCTTTGTCTTCTTTTAATTAAAATTTGCTTTGCTAATTTGATAAGTAAAAGACACCTACATTTTAATACCCACTTCTTCAGAAATTATGCATTTTTCCCATTGTTTTAATTTCTATTTTTGCTCACATGAATTGCCTTCTATTGAGATTGTAGTATTTCAAAAATTCATTATATATATATATATATATATATTTAAATAGAAACCCTTTGTTTTTCATATCTGTTACAAGAATTAAAATACAGGTTGACAATTCCTTCAGTAGAATTGACTGACTTTTTAAATCATTTTTTGGTAGCAAAGAATAGCTGGCTGGTGTTAATATTACCAGTTTCTTTTTCTTTTTATCCTTCCCTGAGGTCCTACAAGTGCCGTTTCTTCCCTTCAATAACTCCCACAGAGATGTACCAACCAATAACTTCATTGTGCACCCATTTTGGCTTCCCACTAGCTCCAATGCAGCAGAGAACAGCAGGTGCCAAATGCACAGTTTACAAATACGAATGACTGTCAGGTAGCTGTATTGACAGAATGCCTGAAAGGTTCGCTGGTGCTGAAGAAACTGCACATGCACCCTGGATAAACACTGAGAGGAGGTCGATTTAAATTCAATCTGACATCATCTACTGTCACCCTCAGCAAAGTACTAAAATACAACCATTCAATTCAAAGAATTGCAAATGGTCCACAATGTTTAAGATAAAGCCCTTGTTAATTTGTTATATTATAAGGTCCAAAGGTGATCACAACCAATACAGTGTGAATTGCTTCTGCTAGTCAAGAATGATTTATAATTAAATCTTTAATGTAACCAATTCCTAGAGAACACTCAAAACACATTTTTCCCTAATTTGATTTTTTCCCCTTATCAACAGATGAGAAGAGAGAAAGAACTGTGAGCAAAACGCAAAGACAAGGGAAATAGGATGTATCTGAACTGATGTGGTACAGAAACAGATTACAAAAGAGTTCTTCTCTAGCTTGTGGCCAGAAACTATCCATCATTATTAAGTAATAATCAGTGAATCAACAATATATTGTCAAGAAAACAGACAATATGGTTATCTGCTAAAAAGGAAAATACTAAATTCAATTGTATTTTCACACTTTAGGGTGAATTTTTCTAATTAGAACATCTAGTGTTTCCCATCCTCCAAACACTTTTTTGTTTACAATCTTTATTTTTAGGTGATGAAAAATTTAGACAGTGAAATGCACAAATGTTAAATGTTATCTATCATTAAATAAGCTTTAATAAATGCATGGAAGGTGAGAAGTATTTTTACTATTTAAAAAAAGTTATAGTAGAATTCAGTTTTTTAGGCTTACAGTTCTGTGAATTTTAATACATGCATATAAGCATCTTACTACCACCTCCACAAACAAGATACAGAATAATTCCTATAGCCTTTTTCAGTCAGACCCTCCACTTCCCCCTAACTCCTTCCAACCACTGATCTGTTCTGTGTCCCTATAATTTGCCTTCTGCAGAATGCCATGTACATGAACTCATAGAGTATGTAATCACGAGACTGGCTTCTTTTATTTAGCATACTGCATTTCAGATTCATCCCATTTTGCTGCATGTACAAAAATGTTTGTTCCTTTATTTATTGCTGAATGGTATTCCATTGAGTGTATATACACAATTAGTTTATCCATACACCCACTAAAGGACATTTGTGTTCTTTCGAGGTTTTTGTGATTTTGAACAATGCTACTACAAACTCTTGTGCACAGGTTATGTGTGAACATAGTTTACTTCCCTAGAAAAAATACTGGGTTATATGAGAGGTATGTTTAACTTTTTAAGAAACCGTTAAATTGTTTTCCAGAGTGGTTGTATCATTTTGTAATCCCACCAGCAATGTATAGAGGTCTCAGCTGGCCCAGCCAGTGTGGCTCAATGGATTGAGTGTCGTCCCATGGACTGAGAGGTCCCAGTTCGATTCCTGGTCAGGGCACATGCCCAGGTTGCAGGCTCAATCCCCAGTGGGGGGGGTCACATCAATGCTTCTATCTTTCTCCCTTCCTTTGTCTCTAAAAACATCAATAAAAACTTTTTT